CAGATTTAAGTCCCCACAAGTAAAGTAATGCTAGGCCACACGCGCACACACACACACACACACACACACACACACACACACACACACACACACACACACACACACATGGCTCTAAACCAGTGCTTCTCAAAGTGTGGTGGTGGCCCGTGAGTATATTGGTAACATTTCAAATTTGAAATAAATAAATACATTTGAGTTTTCCGCACCCTCGCGGGAATATCTCCGCAATTGAGCGAGATGATCTTTCGATTGCAGGATATAGCCCAGCGCAACACCTTCATCACACATGTTGCCACTTGTTTGTACCATTTTCAGGCGATTTGTAATCTGCTCTAGAAAAACGATGTGATTTTGGATATTTGTGGAGTTAGGTGGTCCGCGAGTGTTTTTGTATTGGTTAAGTGGTCCTTGGTATGAAAAAGTTTGTGAAACACTCCTCTAGACACTTCAGATACATAGCACTCAAACAAGGAAAACAAGAGCGAGGGTTTGAACATGGTGAGAAAGTGGTAAACACAGGAAAGAGAAGAATACAGAGAGCCGAGTAATTGGGTGTCGTCTAATCTCCCGAAGCAGCTGTTTTTTATTTGGCCCTGACATTTGACTGTTTTCATGGCTCAGGAATTTAAAGTTTATCTTACAGCATTCAAAAACATTTCTACAGCAGCAAACAAGAATCTGCTTTGTAAATAAATTGTGGAGCAACGTTTACCTAAGAAGAGAATGAAGAAGTGTGTTAAACCCCAGCTTCTTTGTGCTTTCGTGCAAACTGTGTGTAAGTGTGTGTCCCACTGGCTAGCTATACTCTTTAACTGCTCAACTGCATTTAACACATAATAGATAACCCTAACCCACCCTCCAGTTCCCCCTCATGTTCACAACACCTAACAGTTAGTTTCTTTACTGTAGCTTTTAGCTCTTTCACGGTTGCCGTTGTTCATGCTGCTCCCGCTGTTAGCATTAGCATACATTTGGCTGCGTGTGCTGCATAGTGAGTAAGTCTGTGTGTGTGGGTCCAACTGGCTGACTATACTCTGCCATTTAACACATAATAGATGCATTTCTGCCACCCTCGTCTAGTTCCACCTCGTGTTAACACATGACACTGTTAGCTCACTGTTCACTGGCGTTGTTCATACTGTTCCCGCTGTTAGCATTATAATTAGCTGCTGGCTGTTGCCATCTTAGAGCCGTTTGGAGGCAAACCCCTCAATCATTCCTTAATAACCTTTTAGCAATTTAGGCTACTATACAATGTTCCTTAGCTTGTCACAAATGAATAATACAATTGCTGCCAGTAAAGTCTGCTGACAAAATGATTTAATATGAAAAGGATTAAATGTGTAAGTGTATGGAGGAAGTTGGAAACCATGAGAAGTCCAACCTAACCACAGCACAGAAAGTGATGTATCGGCTTCTCCCGTCAACACTCCTGTCAAAGGGTTGAAAGCAAACATGTCAGTAGTTTGTCATACTTATTGACTTGTGAGGAAATCAATGCACTCCACCTTGCGACACATAGCCCGTTTGTAGCCTCCAGTAACATGTTTTCATATGAGTATCCTAAGCATGTTTATGTTGGATGACTGCCCGTAACAACTGCAGCAGCTCAAAAGTGTGCACACATATTATCTTGACTTCACTTTGACAATGTTATTTGCTGGATATCATGAACTCCTGGGGGAATCGAATCTTGTTTGTTCCACTTCCTCTCTTTGTTTCTGCTTCGATGAGCTTTAGCCGTGCACTCTCTCCCTCCCTCCTGCAAAGGCCAAACCATACTTCAAGCACTTGTAGTCTGTCCAGCTCAGGAAGCCAGAGACCCATCACTCTGTCTCACTCTAAGTATGAATGAGTGCGAACCCAGATGTCTCTTTAGCAAGTCCCAGGGCAACTTTTCAATATAAATAACTCTAACCTCTATGATTTCAGAAACTGCCTCCTTTCGCCTGGCCGCCGACGTCTAGGGAAACTCACATGAGCTAAAGTTTCAGAAAAGTTAAACCACCATTTTTAACTGAAACCTCTACCCTCGACTCAAAGGGACGATTACCACACACACCTCCTTATAAAATATGAGGGACACCATTTCTTTTTGGGGGAATTAAGGTCAGGTCTTCTGTATCCTCTGGTTTAAGAGAACGCTTTGAAGGCTAATAAATTGTGGTGGTTTTAGCGCAGTGGTTAGAGCGTTGGTCATCAGATCAAGAGGCGTTGGTGAACTCCAATTCAAATCCCGCCTCGGCCGCCACTGCGTCAGGCCGTTGTGTCCTTGGGCAAGACACTTTACCTGCATTTGCTCCTGTGAGTAATGACTCTTACATGTCTAATATGTGTAATTGTAAAAGCGCTTTGAGCACCTGGAAAAGCGCTCTAATAAAAAAATGTAATGCATTATTATTATTATTATTATTAAATTAAGTTGTGGTGGAAGATTAGCCAGAAAGGCCACTTGGCTTGACTCTTCTCACACTCCTAATGTTTTTATTTCCTCTGGCAGACTCTCCTCTTCCGCCCTACCATCACAAGCAACCTTAAATGCTTTGAGTACATAAATTCCCCTACATAAACCACATGCCTTATGCAGCTGTTATTGTTGGGAAAATACTGAATGTACTATTCCAGTATCAGAATAGCACATGATAACAAAGGCCCTACGTAGCTTTGTACGTTACCTAGAAGAGCATTAGGACACACTGTTTTAGGCATATGATAGCTCTGTGATTAACATGATGATTCAGCCTCTATGGAGATAGACACATGACTGTCATGTATATTGCTTACGCAGGCCTTAGCTAATCTGAACTAAGCATATAATACTGCTTTGAACCGGTATTCTGCATCTAGTGACTGTAACCCTCTCTTGTATATAAGCATGTCAAGGACACTATTCGGGGAACTATTTGTCCCACGCAGTTCTGTGTGTGATGACTACTTCCTGATATTGAAGACCAAGCCGGTGACGAGTGATATTTTTCTAACAGTTATCAATAAACTTGAGTCTGTTTGACATGAACAGACCTCTTTACTAGTTCAAGTTCTGCTGCTTTAAAATAAAGCAACATTTTATAAACACACTGTATTAGGATGGTATTTATAGAACGTTCTAATGACTGTAGTGTCTGTAATGTATACAAGCTGGATTGGTATCTTTTGAAATGTTCTGTTTCATAGGTTTTAGCTTCATTTGCATCTGATTTTACTGTCTTGTAAAGGCCTTTTTAACATCTGTTTTGTTGTTGTTTCCCTTTCAAGCTTGAAACACCACATATTACTCAACTGACTGAAAACACTCAGATATAATTGTATTGTAAACAGACTCTGGTGAGCGATTTACTTTTCACAGTCCAGTGCACTCTGTCCACATATTGAATGACTCATTATGGCCAAACCACAATTATAGCCAGCTAGACTATTATGTTGCCAGCATTAGCTTAGTTAATTCCTCATTAATATAACGTTGCATAAAAGAAGGACAATATTTGACCTGTAAGATTTGCTCTGGATGTATTCACTGAATATGAATAGAAATAATGAATTGCTTTTCTTCAGTAATAGCCTGTTGATGATAATCAACAAGGACACGTGTATTTACTTCATGTGCTAAGATTTTACATACCTTATCACAGTTGAAAAATAAACGTATCAGGTACCGTTGATGGTCAAACAATGCCAACCTTGTTTATAAACTGTATTTCGTACAGAAGTTTCTCTTTTCTTATCTTCAAACATGCTAATACTTTACATGTACCAATTGGCAAGCTCTGCGAAAATGAAGACGTTACAGAAGAGCATCAAACCCGCATTCCTACTAATGTCCAGCAGGGGGCGACTCCTCTGGTTTCAGAAAGAAGTCGGATTGTATAGAAGTCAATAACAAAATGAGCCTACTTCTCACTTGATTAAAAACCTAGGTTTCTGTCTCAATTAGTAGTTTTACGTCTTATTCAATACAGTTTGATATACATTTTTGTTAAATAGACAATAAATACTTGTCTATTTACATTTTAATTGACAGGTTGGTACCACAGTGTTTTTTCATTTTTGTGTCGTAGAAACGTAACCCTATCACAGCGGGTTTTCAGTTGATCAAAGTACTTAACTGTAGAGTTTTGGTTGCTGAAAAATGTATTTTTAAGCATTCATTTATACTCCATCTATCATGCCACTTCTGGTTCCAAATAAGCAAGATAGTTACAGCCGAAATTCCAAAACCAAGACTTCAAAACCTTATTCCACAAACCAAATGTGTGCATTGCAGTGATAAGGTCCACTAGATATATACAATCTATGAGATGTACTAATATATTTAAAGTAAAGATAATACTGCTTCTAATAAACGCATGTAATGTCCTAAGCAACTTTCAATGTTGATACATTTTCTACAGGAAGGTAGTGAGCACTTAACTTATCCCCTATATTCCCACACATCACACCTGATAGTGGTCGTGCACATCCACTCTCCACTTCTCTGTAAGCTACTCAGCAGATTCATCGGATTGATTTGGATCAACTCTCTGGTAGTTTCTTAGTTAGGTGAGATAGTTTCTCATTACTTTCCTTGCCAAACCTTTCTCAAGCAATCAGAGGGGGTTCAAGCATTCTAATACAACTCTCTCACACCAAAGTCTCAACTCTCTGTGAAGTGTACAGACAAGTTATTTGATGTAAATAAACATGTCTTTACCCACAGGTTATCCCAAACATCTGGCCCCTTTCTATTACCTTCAGGCCTGAGTTTTTGCGCATGCGCAGGCGTCCCATCCACATGTCGGTCAGCAGCATCTGACTGCAGGTGTGAGCAATGAAGTCTCTGTGTTTGGCCGCTACCGCCAGCTGCAGGCAGGTGGCGTTGCTCCAGTTCTTCAGCTCGTACGTCAGGAGCTTCATGGCCATCTGCTCGTCCTGTTTATACGACTGGTCTAGGAGTTCCACTGCCAGCTGGGCAAACTCTCTGGGAAATTATAGGCAGGACATATACAGGCACACTGAGACATGAACAGAGACAGTGACACGCTTTGTTCAAACATTTACAATGTAATTGAACTGGTTAAGGGATCACTGACCATCTGGCCATACTCTGGAGGGCATTAGATTTGCATTTAGATTTCATATAAACACAGTGCATGGCCAAGGCCTAACATGAAAAGATTAACACATATCTTCACACACACACACACACACACACACACACACACACACACACACACACACACACACACACACACACACACACAGCATGATATTACACACTTCAATATAGAGCAAACTGTCATTGTGTAAAACAAGGCACTAAAATGAAAGACTGATACGTTTCTGTTTCAATGAAGGGCTTTTCAAGTGTCTTATGATATATCATGAAAAATAACAGTTGAATATTCCAAACATATTTGGTTTGATTACATGTGCTTAGGAAAGAAGTACGCCCTGAATCAAAAATCCCTTGAGCTTCTACATACACTCAGAGAAGAAATGAATGCACCCCCGTTGAAAATAAAACATTATCATATACAAATGCATGTATTTAAATGAGCTCTTCGAAAGGAATCCAGCCTAATTATCTTTGGAAAGTCAACTTAAAGTGTGCCAGCTTTAAGGTTGAAGCTGTGTGTAAGTGTGTCAAAGCCCTGCTTCTAGTTATTTCCTGTTTTCCCTTTCCCTTGCGTCTCCTGTACTCTCCTCCCTGTGTGTGTGTGTGTGTGCGTGTGTGTGTGTGTGTGTGTGTGTGTGTGTGTGTGTGTGTGTGTGTGTGGCTGTGTGCAAACTCGCATACTTACACCTCCTACATACAGAAGTTCATCAGTATGTAATGCATACTGCCAACTAAATGAACGATTAAGTGTACCATTACCAGCAGATGGTTCACACTGAAGCAATCATCATGATGATGCATCATGTGATGCAATCACGAAAACATGGCAGCAAAGATCTAAACAGCCGTACATTGGATAAACTAACCGAGCACATGACCGGAATCTCAAAGGTTCCTTTCTTGCACAAAACATATTCAAATGTAATAAAGTGACATATTAACAGCTTTTAGCCTGGCTCCAAATGTTTGACATTGTGCAATATGAGGAAATGCAATGTATTTCTGGGCATTTGAGTATGTTAATTCTGTCCTGTACATGCAGGCTTTTCTGGTTAGTTAGTATGCAAATCTGAACACAGCCCCAGTCGTGATGTGGGCGTCTCACAATCTTGCTTAATTGATTGCTGTCCCGCCTACACACCATGTCCAAGACGCACTCCAGCAAACCCTCTACTCATCTACTCTGCAGTTTATTAAGCATGGTGCTTCACCCAGTCATTGCCTGATTGTTGTTTCAGCCCACGTAGTAGTTCCCGTCTCAGGCCTCTTGAATTCTTTACTCAAGTCCTAGCTCATCTAATGGACTCTATGGGTTATACTCTTCACCAATCACGCCATGCGTTGCCAACTGAAATGTGCATAGACGTAGCCTGCAATCAGGACGAGCCAACACCAATATATGCGGACCACACAGCATATATGGCTTCTATTCCACTGTCTGTAATCTCTTTATTCTTCAGGGATTTGGGAATTGCCAACCGAGCCAAAAGATTCTGTGATTCAAGGACATTGCGGGTCGATGTTTTGATGCGACCGGATGTTCCAATGTATGCCCTGTGGCCCCTGTATGAGTTAGATTAAAGTTACCTATTGTTACCCTAGTTCTTTACTTGCAAAGTTATTTTGCTCGCTGAAAAGGTAACAGATAACAGTCACCGGCTTGGCTCCATTATATACTGTGTGGCCTGCACATATTCTGGTAGGCTCGTTCTGATTGGATGGCTAAGTTTATGCACATTTCAGTGGTTCAATATGTGATTTTAATTGGAGAAAAGTGTTACATTGAGCTTTTTGTTATAGAACTAGGGTTACAATCTGTAACCTTTGTTTACTCTTTTGGTTCGTCTCTAAACCCAGCTCTCAGGCCACTGCCTGCCTGTTGCTCAGCCACATCGCCTCCAGCCATCTCCCTGCTCTGCCACACTCCACCGGCCACCATCTCCCCTCCTCCCCTCTGTCTCTGTCAGCCAGACATGCCACTCATTCACCTTCATCCCCTGGAACCGAGCCAATAAACCTTTTCTTATCCATCCCTTCCTCAAAGTCTGTGTCCTGCATTCGGTTCCCCCGATGGATCATTTAAAAAATACCCTATTTGTGTGCAGGTTCTGGTTGGTGTGGCTGTGCTTAATTTGCAGTATGTGCAAGATGTCCTTCTAATTAACAGTCATTCCTATAGCTAGCAATTTGATCTCTTGGTAATTACCTTCATCTCAAATGCAAATCCTTAACTAACGGAGATGCATGTCATCAGATTTCTTTATCTATGTCACTAACATCCTATGGGAGCCGGGAGTAGTGTGAAACCGGTCAGTTTGCAGGGAGGATGGCATGTTAGTTAGTGTGTGTATCCGCCCAATCGGGCTGGAGTGTGGAGGTAGACCGTCTCATCTCGCCACTCAACTTCCCATCAATCATTTACAAATCTTGTAAATATCATGAGAGATGAATGTTGGTGGACAAATGTGTTGTTTCACCCACCTGGAGTTGTGGTTTAGTTCCTGAGAAATGTCGTCCACCATGTCGTTCTCGGAGGCTTCGTGTGCCATGGCCTTACAAAGCTTACATGCTACCAAGGCCTTGGCCATGGCCTCTTCACCGTGCTGCCAAAAGAACAGCGCCATCTTCTGACGTTTCATAAGCACGGCCCAAACCATGAGCTCATGGAAAGGAAAAGGGAAGTGGTTGATTTCGGGGTCGTCCAAATCTATGTCCACTTCCTCCTCTCGCTTGCGCGTCGTCTTCTGGCGACCTCTGCGGATAGGCATGTCATCCTGATGGAGATCCATAGCAAGTGAGTTGTGCGGAAAGAAAAGAAGACAGCTTTGGAGATGTACTCCTTTTTTGGGGGACTTGTTAAGGATTCAAATTATTCCGAGGACAATGTAAGAAAGTTTTAGGTTGAAAGCGTGGGTCCTGAATCTGAGGAAATCTAAGGATCTGGATTGTACCTATGTCTAAAAGGGAAATATAACCTTGCTTACATTTCCATATTGTATTTCTAAATCTGTTCACCCTTCAAATGATGAAAGTTAGGTGAAAGCACAAGCAGACTTTGGAGGACACAGGTGGAAGGACAAATCGATTATCACAAAGTACACATAACAGACGCAGTCTTTTCAGTAATATCTTCTCATTGGACTTTACTCGTCTTTAACCCTTCCTTTTGAATAAAGAATAACTCGCCCAGGGGTGAGGTCCTCTCCAGGCTGACTCCCTGTCTCTGGAGAAACTGACACTGCCAGTTAGTGTCTGAATGGCATGTCAGCAGGGCGGCATTGATCTTCAATCATTTCCGATTTGAACAGTTGAGGACTACTGACAGTTAATCAATCACATAGACCTGAGAAATGGTTTTCACTGCTTTTATAATTGCTGCTTGCTTTAAAACAGATTGTCTGAATATGATAATAGTAGGGCAGTAAATTACATAGTAATAATAGAAAGGGAAATGATTTAGAAAATGATTAGAGCACCATAAATGTAGGGCCATTGAGACCAGATTCCCATACTGATTAAACGATAGATAAACTAGACTAGCAGAAGAGAGCAAGGCATTGAGGCTAAAAGACTTTGTCGGACACAAACAGAGAGAGAACACACGCCATTACAGGGAGAACTATTTCAAACAGGCAGACATACAAAGGAATGGACAGCCATGCACATTAGATATGAATACCTCTTAGAAAACTCTAGACACATGCTGTGATAAAAGCTTTATGATGTTGATTCTTCATGGTGTGTACACCATGGATACATGCGAGTACACAGTCCATGTATTATGTAATCCTGTTAGGTCAGTCATTACCTATTCAGTATAATGTAACTGGGCTGATCTGAATCAAGAGTTATATATCAGGGCTCAACGCTAACTTTGAAAAGTGGTTGCCAGGCTGGCAACCAGGCATCAGCTTTTGGTTGCCAAAACTGAAAATACGGTTGCCATTTTTAGTCACCTTATATTTTAAATAATTAAGATACTATACAGTTATACATCAACTTAATAATGAAAATGGGACAAAAAAGAATGTTCAAATGCTTTACAATAAGCAATTAACACAATTATTTGAAACTTAAGTGGTAGTAAACTTGTCCACCCTCAATTGCTGGTATACAAAATACCAGTAGTGCAGCTGTTGTCACTTTCTTCACAGATTAATTGAGCAAGTCACTAGTTTCTTGGTCATCTGTTGTCTCCCTTTCAAATTTGGGTTTTCTTGATCGTTGTGCTGACCCCCACCATAGATCCATTGGCCCTTCAGCATTGAAGTCTTGGATTGGCCAGACTAATACATTTGTAATGTTAAATAAATGAAACCATTCACATATATTAATGATTAATGCTGTAAATTACCTTTAATATGTCTAACTATAATTAAAATGTGTTACCTTTTTATAGAAGTGATTATATTTGTATGCCAATATTTTCCTCTGGTAAAGTTTCGTTTTGCACTTTTATTTTGGTAGTAATAAGATCGGGACTCTTATTTTGAAGGAACCTTTAGCGGAAGTGAATGGACAACATTCCTCTTTGCTTTTTGTTCGAGTTTACCTTGCGCTTTATCAGTTGAATCACTTTGAACATTCGTTTGAGATGTTGACGGGTTGGCCGAACTTTTTACCCCACAGTCAAACAACTTAATTTTTGTTTGTAGAACAAACACACGGTGCACCGCTCACGCGAGTAAACGTGCATCGCTTTCTGGCTCCGTAATCACACCAATGCACGTGCAACTTAAGTATCGGTTCCGACTGGTCACAACAATAATTAAATATCACTCTTCTTAATATAACAAATAATTAACATTTATCTATTTTGGGGTTCACATTTTGCTGTTTGCTGTCCTTATTTCTTTATGTTAAAAACTGGTTGCCACTGATGGCAACCAAAGGCCAAGAAGTGGTTGACATTTTTTCTGAATGGTTGCCAATGGCAACCTGGCAACCGTTACTGTCGAGCCCTGTATATATATATTAATACTGTCCGGAGACTGCCATGTTGTTGTGCATTGTTTTCCATTAACAGAAAAAAAAAAAGGTAAATTGAAAATAACTTTGTGTAGGGTAATGGGAAAGAATGAATAATGTTATGAAATTGCCGGAAAATTAATTAAATACGCCTCAAGGTCATTCTTTCAGAGACTGCAAGGCACACGGCACACGCTATAAATATTCCGCAGACTGACTTTACACTCAAGAGAGAAAAGTGTGTTAAAAAGAGGGAGAGGAACACTGAAGGAATGACTGAAAAACAAAATCACGATGAGAGCAACACTCACCTCCATCCCCAGCAGTTTCAGGGCTTTGGGCTAGAAAAGCAACAACAATATAAGCAAGCAGAACAAGACCTTGTCGAATGTATATTATAGAGAATTTGACTCTATAAGCACAAGATAACACAGACTGACAGACACAGTCGCTCACATGAGAGCAGAAATATTCTTTGATATGGTAAGTCACTCACTTTCCCTTCAATGGTTTTCATTCAAACTGAACAAAAATGTTGTGCTGTTGCGATTTAAAGTATACTATACATACAGCAACATTCTTGTATGTTTGTGTGTTCACATGTTTAAAAGCAGAGTGCATTTGGTACAGTACTGTGTATCTGTATTTAAGCGGGGCATGTATGAATTATGCATTCATGAGCCATCATCTGAGTTGGTAAAAATAGCTCGGGTCTCCTGTGGGGATTTTTGATATCTGAATCTATTTCAAGGCTTTGTTCTTCCTTAACATGTTTGTGTGTGTGCGCGCACGTGGCCATGTGATTGCACGTTCATTTCATCTAGAAAATCACAGTTAAATTGGAACTGACTCTTCATCTCTCTTTCTCTCTCTCTCTCATTTTGCCTCTTTGCTCAGTCTCTGTCCCGATTCCCTGCTTTGGCTTTATCTCCGTCTTTCCAGCTGCTTTGTTGCTGCCATGGCAGACACACACTGAGATAAACAGGCACATGAAGACTCACACACACATACTCATACATACAAACACAAAGGTGCACCCACGAGCCGAAATATGGGGCTTCAGACTCAGCTGTGTGTGCTTCTATTTTCATCACACCTGTGGCGGTGTGTGAGGAATGGAGGCAGAATGAGAGGACGATGAACATAGACCATATGATGTGCTGTGTGTGTGGTGTAAAACACACAACCATCAAACACTACAGCACATGGGGTTTGCTCATCAGTGAGACGAGTTTCTGTAGTTGGAATGAAGCGTGTATATCATTGGGGTTACGACGGCACATGATGAACAGCCGCTGCTATACATGGATGATTTGTTGCATCAAGCTAATAACGGCCTGTGTTTACTTGATGAGGAAATGTGGGATAACATGAGGAGGACTCTTATGTTTGACCCCTGCTGATGAACAACACCTTGATAGTAGGTGAACATGATTTGTATGGTTTTAGTGGCTATAAATCCCTTAGCCGCACATTTCTCGAAATGTCTTTTTTTATGGATGCTGTCTACTCGCCTGAGATATAAAGATGATTTGCTATTTCAGTAAAACATGTTAACGATATCTATGAAAGTAACTCTTCTAGGGAAAGAAAATATCAACTTGCAGTATAAAAACAACACAAAGACTGGCTGTAGTTCACACGTTTCTGTTAAGACTTCTTTAAACACCAAGTATCACAATTGCTAAAGCTTGGATCAGATAATTAAAGAGTGTCCTTAAAGAGGCCCTATTGTGCTTTTTTACTGTATACTCCCGTTGACCAATCACAACAGAGCCAGCCAGCTAACCAATCAAAGCAGACTGGACTCAGACAGAGGGTGAAAAGAGATATAAACCCTTTTTCATCATTAATAATTGAAATGTGAACCACAACAAACAGCATAATAGGGCCCCTTTAAATACACTTTGAATTTGTAATAGAATACATCATTTGATCCATATTATTCATGTTGCTCTTTTCAGTGCTGATTTTAACTTAAAGGATCATTTTACTGATACTGGTCCTGTGATTTGATTTTGATTAATTACGTAAACAATTCTCCCACATTAGTGTTTAAATATATTAACTATTCACTCACCCTCTTGGGTCCAAAGAGGTTGTGGTACAGAGTTCTGAATCTCTTCCTGGTGTAGTTACAACGATAAGCTCCGCCCATGAGGTATTCAATGACCAGTCCGATGTCGATGAGGCTGATGCGGTAGTCCGGAGGCAGGTTTCCCTAGAAAGACCAGACAGTGTTAACAGGCAACAACCCACGCCAGCTGATTCGGATTGATAAAGAAGTGGAAACAAGAGGGAAACAAGAGTACACAACATACACACTCACTTCACAAAATCCATATCCAAGTGTTTTTTGGCTATGAAAAAAGAAAACGTGATTATCTGATTCACCCTGAAGTAGATCCAACTGAACCCTGGATATTCTCGCTTGGAAAGAACACACAATGTCAGTGAGCAAGGGCAGGGGAAATAAGATACAGAGAAACTCTCGGGCAAGATCTCTCTTCCAGCTCCTTAATAAATTATCTCTCACTTTGATTCAGTTTATGATTTTATATTGTGAATTCTTAGAAACTTGGTGGTTCTTGGTTTGAATTGAGACATTTGAAGATATTCCTCTGATCTCGTAATAGGTTGAACCAGAAAGTACTATGCTGTTTCAGCCGACATCTGTATCTTGTTCTCTTACACAGGAGCAAAAGAAGATAAATAAATGGGTGCAATGATTTTCTTGAAGTGGACCAAATGTCTGAGGACGATTGCAAAGATCAAACTTTTTTAAAATGTTTTTAAATAAATGTCTCATGATTTGCACTTAAGAAAATAACGAGATCTTCTCCGTGAGGTTCAATGCAGTCTTGAAGAAAGGAAAAGAAAGAGAAAGTGGTAAGATCTATCTAATATTAGCCTGGAAGACAGGGGAAATAGCATGGACAGCTATTAACGCTAGAGGCTACATTCGTTATTGAAACAGAAAGTGAGGATTCTGTCTCTGTAAACCCTCGCTGCTCCTCCTCCTCCTGCCCTCAACATCAACCCCAGATCCTGCACTAATTATCCTGTCCCCCACTGTGACCCAGGCCTTTCAGAGACACCAATTACTTCACATAACTTCCGTAACACCATCTGCACACCTCTACCATCAGATAGGGCTGCTCGATTATGGCAAAAATCATAATCTCGATTATTTGGGTCAATAATTGATATCACGATTATTAAAAACGATTATCCATTTACTTTGAAAACATCAATTTATTGGAGAAAACATGTTTTAACAGTATGTTTTTAACAGTTGATTACCCTGAACTTTAAAAACTGAAAAACCAATAAAAAAAAATAAAAAAAATAAAAAAAAGTTTTTATTTCGATTACGTTGTTTTCGTAATCGTTGCAAGCCATAATCGTAATTGCGATTAAAATACGATTAATTGAGCAGCTCTACCATCAGATGTGAGAAATCCTAGAAATCCTCTCTGTCCTCCCCATCCTGTCCTCGTATCCAAAGACTCCATTTCAGTGGCGGTAAAGCCTCGCTAACTGTAGGCCATCTGATGCACTTTGAAGTAAAGGCAGCTGCAGATACTGTTTGTCTGTTCAAAGTGAACACACAAAGCTTCACCTCCTCCTCCTCCTCCTACTGATGTATATAGATCAAAAGCCCCAGTCTGCGGTCAGCCCATCTCTCTCTCAGGTCCCTGAAGCAAAGGCTAAAAGCTGTTTGTTTACACCTTGTGTGAATCCCCTCTGACAGCTAAGGGTGCTGAAGCTTTCATTTATTTTATTAGGAAGAAGAAGAGTCCTGGTTGACTCACTAATCAACCTCTCTCCTGAAAGTGTCTCCACATAACATCCAGAGCTTTAGCTGGACCTACAGTTGTTAGACAAATAAACAACCAGCTACTTTTGTTGAAGTGTTGTTTGTTGCCAAACCAGATCATCCCATACATAATGTATTGAAATGTATATGGTCGTTAGGATTGTTGTAAGATTTCTAAGTTGTTTATTCACTCTTTATTCTGACAGTCACTCGCCTCATGTGTCTTTTATGAGCTGTTTTGGCTCACATTTCATTTGTTTTGAGTGATAATGCTCACATAAAGCAAGAATTGCGTTTTTGTCTGAAATGTGCAATATAAATAAACCTCCTGGCTTTGTCTCTTTACTGTCTGTTTTTATATCTCATCTGTTCTTCACTTGATAACAAATCCTTGGGGTATTTACTCCTTGTGCTTTCCTTCATTTATTTGTAAGGTCGTTTGCGTTCGTGGCTCGTGTCCCTGTCTGTATTCCTGCCTGTGTGTGTTGTATTTTTTTATTTGTTCTTAGCTTAGTATTTGTTCTTTGTTTTTGCATTTGCCTCTGCCTGCTCCCTTATGCTCGTTGGCAGCCTGTGTTGGTAGCAGCTTTGCTTTAATTAAGCTGGCTTTGTGTTCATTCAACCTGCCTGCCTTGCCTCCTGCTTTGGGATCCTCTTTAGCTGAAGCGTGACACTAATACACATCAAGTCAGTGTTCCTGTGACCTGCGGACTGAACAGGAAGCAGATAACCTACGACACAAATCAACAATAATTATGGCTCATTTCAACTTTGAATTAAAATAGAAATCTAGGAAGTATATCCGCCCTGTTTGGATTTACCTCTAACTGTTCCTGATATCTGAGACACGAGGTGTATTGCTTCCGAACTTTGGCCACAAAACAGCATTGTTCATTTACTCTGTAGGAAAACCAATTTCTGCTTTTGGCAGCTGTAGTCCACACAAGCCAATCTCTGAGACTCTCTGCCTTCTGACTCAGCTTTCACACCGTCTAATGAATGAACTAGATTAAACCTGAGTGCGTCCCCCCGGGCCCTTACAGCTGTTGCTGGCTCAACATCTGCAGCTGAATCAAAGTAAAACCTGCCAACAGTGTGACCCAGCATCCACAGAGAGGAATGAGAACGAAAGAGAACAGCGATGACATGGTGACTTCACGCGAGGGATTGCAGTTAGATCTAATTAGCATCCTACTATTATACAACAACAACAACAACAACAACACAAACACTTAGCCGCACTATGGCAATTATATCCAATAAGATGGGGATGTTGTAACATGCGGTGTGTTTTGCATGTGTGTCAGGTGAGGTATCGTGGAATAGAAAACGCATATTCTGAGATTGTTTAAAGATGGAGAAGGTGAAGGAGGAGTGATTACAACACTCATCCTCTTTAGCGACCTCACGGGGCGCATGTGGCAATCAATAACGGTTACATTAATGAACACCTATCAGTGCTAATGATGGTATTGCTGACCTCTCAATCATCTCTCAAAGGTGAGATCGCTTCTAATTGGGGTGCAGACACGTGCTGAATGTTAAATGATAGGTCTTTTTCTGCAGTTAGCATTGAGGTGCTGATTAGGGAAATGCAACAAAAACACCTTATAGTGTTTTTCACAACCTATACTTAGAGAGAGGATTCCACCATGTCATCATCTTAACATGTAAATAACACATGTTGCAAAAGTCTTTTTTATGTTAGACCCTTCTTAACTGTCAATGCTGCAAAGTCATACCTCCACTGTATGATTCTATCCCACATTGAATACTGTTTGACAAACTGGTCGTTTGCTTGTGCCACAAATCTGAAACCAATAGAACAGCTGTACAAGAGAGCTATCCAGGTGTTTGACAGAAAGCCATATTCATACCACCACTGTACCATACTTGAAAAACACAATTTCTTGAGCTTTGACAATTTTAAGTCTTTTAAAAGTATGTGCTATAAATGTTTACATGGACTGGCCCCCCTCCCTTAGGGGAATTCATCCACAAAAAGGACACTGGACGCTGCACTAGGTCAGAAACCAGAGGAGCCTGTTCTGCTCGGCTGCTCCCAGTCTGTGGAATGCTCTCCCGACCACATAAGAGCACCACAGACCGTGGAAGCTTTTAAAAAGGCCTCAAACCCAATCTATTCAATAGAGCCTTTCCCTTGACCTTTTATCTATTACCACCCTTTTATTTTATTTGTATTGTTTGTTATTGCTTTTTATTCATTCTACCGTGTTGTGTACTGTTTTTATGCTGTTCATGCTCACTGCTTCTAGCACTTCGGGATTTGAAGTCAAATATGAAGTGCTTTATAAATGAAACCCATTATTATTATTATTATTATTAATATTATTAATGTGAAGCCCACCACAGACGGACCACTTTTGGACAAAAGGTTCTTTCCATTAAAGGCAGCTCTTTCTGGAATAGCCTCCCAATCGAGATACGGGATTATCCCACTTTGAACAGTTTCAAAGGTCAACTCAAAGAATGGTTGAGAAACAAACAGACGTGTAATCAGCGCTAAATACACTTTAATACAGGGGTATCTCCTCTTGCACTTTATATATCGTTGTGCTATATTGTACTGCCATGTGGTAAATACTTGTGTATGCTGCTCTTGCTCTCTTGCACTTTTGGCATATCATGTTTGTTCTTGCTATGTTTGTAAAATGTAATTTTCTTAAATGTTTTATGTGAGGGACTGCGGATGGAAATGAGCTCAAAGCTAAATCTGGTGCTGTTACGCTTGATACATTTTAAGGTTTTAAGTGTTCATTACTGTGCATTGTCACTGCTAAATAAACGGTACAAAAAATAAATGTAGGGAAATGTGCGATGTCACTTTTAATTGAATCAGTAAATACAGCATATTGGAGAGAACACACCTGAAGGCGTTGTTGACAGTACAAACCAAAAAGTAATCAATAAATTGTGAGTGTTTGTCTTCCTTCTTCTCAGCCTCACAGCAGTATCACTACGGCCTCAGTTTGCTCAAACTCAACTTCTGTCAGTAAAGCAGTGTTTAATACTCAAAGTGTTTGTTACCATGGCAGTGTGTCCCTTAGAGAAAGCACAGAGTAAATTAGTGAACAGTCATGAGAGGCATGAGAGTCGTGCACAGCTCTACAGCAGCCTGTAGCTCCAGCTGAAAGAGAGAAGCCAGCCTCTATGTGCAGAACCAGCATCTAGGACTACCAGTAAGTAGACACACTAATCAATGCAAGTACACACAACGCAACACAAGCAACTAAAGCTCTATGTGGTCAAATGTGTCTTCTTTATATTACACATTCAAGCCAACGTTCCCGTACAGTGAGCCTGGACAGCCACAGAGCTGAAGGGACGATGGAGATGGTCTTACCTTTTTGACATCTCTGACCAGGTGGTACAGCGTGTTGGACGGCCCATGTCTCTGTTGAAAACAAACAAACACATAAAGATATTATTACAATCACAAAAAGCATCTTCAGTTCCTTAGGACCCTGCGTGTTATGACAATCACCCTAAGCACCAAAGTGAGGTAAGCCCTTTAATCAGCCATTTGCACGTAGGGGTGTTTCCTAGAACTAATAGACAACATCACTTCTTTTTGCATGTGTTGTTACCGTGTTGTAGAGCTCCTCCAGTCTGGAAAGCGTGAGGAAGCGATGCATGCTGACTCCATTTTCAATCAGCAGCTTGACAAAGTCCACTCTGTCCAGAACTAAGGCATCCAGCATCGCCTGCTCCAGGGAACCGATCTAATGCAGAAGGGACGGGGGAAACATGAACTGACAACCCTATAGAGCAGTGCGTCTCAAACCTTTTCAGTAGTGTTCCCCCTTTGAAACATTTTCTCAGCCGAGAACCCCCTGACCGACCCCGAACGTTTTTGATAGAAACAGCCTATAAACACAATTACAATATAGTGATGTTCCATCAGTGTGTGATTTATTAACTCCTTCATGCATGAACTACAACAAACTAAGAATTCTTTTATCTTTGTGCATGAAAAAAAAGAACATATACATAATGATTTTTCCAAGGAGTTTTTCAATTGAAGTAATATATATGTTTAACAAACCAATGAACAAAATGATATATCGTGAAAAACTATAAAATACAATACACACATTTGACATTCTAGAAATATTTTATATCAAATTGTGTTTTCTATTTCACTTATTGTACTAAGATTCTTTTTGTAATCATGCATGGTAATTCTTTTAATTAAACTTTTTTTTTTTTTTTTAATCTCACGTACCCCCTGCAGTACCCCAACGTACCCCTAGGGGTCCGCGTAGCCCCATTTGAGAATCACAAGGATACACTACGTACAATGCACTATTTATACAGAAGCACTGCATATAAACACAAAGAGATTGACCATCGTGAGCTACAACAAGACACTTACATGGATAATATAATAATACTCGTACATGTTTCCTCTCATGATGTATTTGTAACAACTTTCTTCTATACACCACACATCCAAAATAAAGTTGAAATGGCTCAGATCTTGTAACACAGCCTTGAATTGCATCCAGTTCACAAGCTTTATTTGTCTCCGGGGGCTAATTTGCAGTTTATCCGATACATGAAAAACTGCAATGAATGTATACTTGTCAATTATGCACACAGATAACCGCAGCATTATTGGATTGTTATTCTGATTCCAGCAGCCGACTGCATCCAAATTGCCTTTACAAGATCAAAGTACCCTTTTATCTGGTTTAATAAACCGTCTTTCTTTTTCTACTCATTTTTTAAGGTATTTCTGTGTGAATTTAAAGCAATTAATATGGAGTGTCAATTGTTAGTAACATTATCAGCCTTTAAGAATAGCTTCAGCAACCCAATGTTCCTGTGCCCTGTTCGCATAAACAACATTTCTGCTGCAGTATGCATATTTGGGATTTCACAGTTTCTTTCTTACAGGCCACTGCTGTCCGTAGATGAAGATCTGACTGCGGGCGATGTCCACTCTGTTCCAAGCCAGAGCCAAACTCAGCTGGTCAGGGGCCGAGGCGTTGGCACCTGAGAGGATACACAATGTTTTATTTCATATTTTATGACAAACAAGGTTTCCTAAACAGATACAAGATCCAAGTCAGGAACAACTCACTAGTGCGTTGTGCATTAGATGCAGCTGTTAAATGTAACTAAGAACATGTAAACAATTACTTTTTGGGTATTTTTGCAACTTACTTTGAGTGCTCCATTTTATGCTTTTATCTTAGAAGAAAAAATTAAACTTTTTAAAAAAAATTGGCTTAACATTGACAAACTACCAGATTTAAAAGATCCTACATGTATTTGCAAGTGAATAAAGTAAGAAATATAAGACTTCCAAAATAGCCATTACACAAAATGGATACTTTTATAATAATTGTTTATACTTTGAGTGCTGATAATATACTCTTTACTTCTACTAAAGTGTGAATGCAGGACTTTTACTTGTGTGCTGTATTTTCAGACCAAAGTGTTTCTACTTTTACTAAAAGAAGTTCTTCCTCAGTTTTTTGTTCAATTGTTTACTACTTATTTTTTACTTATACTTATTTGTTCTCCTGGATGTTAATACTTTTGTAATAAAATAAATAGGAAGTGATACAAGTTTATATTAACTGAGAGTAAGCAATGGAAACAAGTATGTTCTACGGTGGTTCAGTTTGTCTGTGTTCAAGATGGAATAATAATTACATTACATGTCACTTGTTAGACGCTTTTATCCAAAGGGACATACATACTCAATACTGTGGGCAATCCCCACAGGAGCAGTTTGGGGTGAAGTGTCTTGCAGGGACACAACGACATGCTGACTGCAGTGGGGTTTGAACCCAATGCACCACACGCCTTATATACAATACAATGTAATGTCAACAGCTCACAGAATACATAAACATCAAAACTCACACACATTTACCACCAGAGGACATAAACCAGCAGCAGCATATAACACAAGCTTTCCCATGGAGAAGCTATCAGCCCCACAAACCAGCTGGGATGTAAACCATTGCATACACACCCTGAGGAGGGCCATGCACACCAGCAGGGAGGATGGCTATAATGGTAACTATACATATGAAGAAGTGAGCTTCCACACTGAGGAACAATAACACTCTGTTCTTTAAACAGTGGTGCTCCAGCTGAGCCCCAAGAATGGTTATTTATGACCGGTTACTGCTGAGCGTTTGCACAAAGAAATAACTTAAGATAAGGATATGAATAGTAAGGAAAATAAAGAATGGGGCGAAGCCTGCGAGCTAGTTCAGGCAGTCAACTCGAGCACCAATGATACATTAACACGTGACGCAACTCGTCCCCCTGGCAACCAACCAAACACATTCTCCTAAACATGGCGCTCTATTTAAGCTGCCAGGTCTTCCTGCCTCGCTATGCTGCCGCTGCTGTGTTCACTTGCTACTGCTACGTTCATGTTCCTGCTGCTGTGTTTCATGTTGCTGCTGCTCGCCTGCCCCCCCCC